TTCTTTTTTTTTTTTTTTTTTTTAATTTTGGTTTGCTATAGAGCAATCCCTGGAGAGAAAGAGGGAAGGTGAAATCATCCCCAGGCAGAATGGCCACACCACAATCTCATTTCCATTCTTGTTTTGGGATTTTGGGCACATATACACACACACACACACATACATGCCCCAGTGTGATCTTCAAGGCTCTGGGTCTGGGACTCCAATCGTGGTCAGTCTTGTGGGAGTTGAGCACCTTAACCACTACACCTACTGCAGGTCCCGCAAATAGTAATTTCTATAAGGTTTGTTGTAGTAAATAATCCCAGACATCTCAAGGAACTTTTCAGACTCTGTTTTATTAAAATTTACTTTGAATGGATCTTTTTTACTGGTGCATGACTTTATAACAGTCATTTAAAAAAACATTAGTTCACTTGGGACCAGCAAGTGCATGGAGGTTAAGACAGCTAGATCCCATATGGCCAACTCCATGGTTTGAATCCCAGACTCGTAGGCTTGAAAATCAGGCTAAGTACGTGTGTGAATGCCCAAAATCCTGAGAGGAGAATGGAGGAGAAGGGATTGCAGCATGGCCATCCCCCCAGGGGATGATTTCTTACTTTTCCTTTCTCTCTGTCTCTGTCTCAGTGGCAAGTGCACATACCCTATAGCAAAAAAATAAAAAGAGAAAAAGAAAACACTGTTTCACAGAGTTTTGTAGATCTTCCCAATGTTAACGTATTTTATTATACAGTATCAGAAAATTACATTCATTGTCTTAGTCTGTTTTTGCATTGCTAACAAGAATACCTGAGACTAGATGATTTACAAAAAAGATAGAGGTTTATTTCCAGTACATATAAAGTCCAGTCATCACAAAATGGGGTAAAGTAGATCTTTAAAAGAGCAGAATGTAGTTATGTCTATGAGTTTCTGCCTGCTTTCTATCTTCTCCTTATATACACCTGACTAGTCAGTTATGGGGGTTCCACCATAATGACTTTATCATACCCAAAGGCCCCACACTGGAATGCTATGAAAGAATTAAGTTTTCACTTAACACCCTCACAATACAATCAAGTCCCAGTTAATGAATTTTTGAGGCACAACCAAATTCAAACACATGAACCTTTGAGAGACAAACCATTATCCATACCATAGCATTCATTGCTGTCACCACTCATTTCACCAGAATAGTTTGTATTGGAAAACTGTCAGTCTTATAGTGTTAAAACCAAGTTTTTCAATATTCTAATTTTTGCTTAAAAGCTAGAATTTTATCATTTGCTTCAAATACTGTTTTTTCCCTTTACTTTTAAATTTTTAAAAATAATTATTTCATTTACCTTTATTCATTTATTTTAATTTGACCAGAGAGGATCAGAGAGAGTGAGTGAGGAAGCAACCCGCCATGTCCTGGACTCAAATCGCAGTTGACCGTGTGGAAGTCCAGTGCCCTTAACCACCATGCCACCTGCTGGCTCCAGCTGTCAGTTATTTTAATTGAAGCATCAGGTTTGCTTCAAATATATTTTCTTTCTCTCTTTCTTTTAAGAATTACTTCTTGGGACCAGCAGTAAATGTAATGGCTATGTTGCTGGACTCCTATGTAGTCGACCGTGATTCGCGTCCCGGATCCGGTGCATTTAAAACTCAGCTGGGGGGGAGCCAGCAGTTAGCGTAATGGCTATGTCACTGGACTCCCACGTAGTCGACTGCGGTTCGGGTCCTGGACCCGGTGGCTTAAAACTCACGCCGGGCGCGTGTGCGTGCGTGCCCAAGATCCCGAGAGGAGAATGGAGGAGAAGGGATTGCGGCATGACCATCCCCCCTGGGGGGTGATTTCTCGCTTTCTGTCTCTATGTCTGTCTCTGTCTGTCTGGCGAGCGCACGCGCCCTACAGTGAAAATCTCTCCCCCCAAAAAAAAAAACTCAGCTGGGGGGCCGGCAGGTGGCGTGGTGTGGTTAAAGGCGCTGGACTCCCACATGGCTGACCACAGTTCAAGTCTTGGACCTGGTAGCTTGCTTTCTCACTTCCTCTCTCTCTCTCTGATCAAACTGGAAAATAATAATTATAATAATAATAAATAAAGTTAAATAAAATAGTTCTTTAAAAAAATAATGCCCCTTTGGCATAAGGATTATTTTGTAAATAAAGTTAAATAAAATAATTCTTAAAAAAAAAAAAAAAATCCCTCAGCCGGGCGCGTGTGCGTGCATGCCCAAGATCCCAAGAGGAGAATGGAGGAGAAGGGATTGCGGCGTGGCCATCCCCCCTGGGGGGTGATTTCTCGCTTTCTGTCTCTCTGTCTCTGTCTGGTGAGCGCACGCACCCTATAGCAAAAACCTCTCCAAAAACAAAAAAAATTATTTCTTTAGTTTTATTTACTACTATTATTTTTTTATTTGACCAGGGAGAAAGAATGGGACAGTGAGCAAGTTACCAGGTCTGAGATTCTAACCAGAGTTGACCATGTGAGAATCCAGTGCCTCAACCACCATGTCTTCTGTCTGCCTCCACTTTATTCAATAACATATCTGCTGTATCCAATCTGAATAACCTTAGTTTGTCTTTCATTTGTTCTTTGAAGTAAAAATGGCATTCCATGGAAAAAACATTAAATTAAACCTTTAAACCTTTAAACCTTTAGGGGACCAGCGGGTGGCATGGTGGTTAAGGGCAAATAGGAGAGTCTTCAAAAAGTTCATGGAATATTCTTGTGAACAATTATGCATAGATTTCAAAAATTTTTACACCAAAATAAACTCATACTTTAAATCTATTTTCCATGAACTTTTTGAAGTCCCTCACAATTTATTATGATTATAAAATAATAGTTTTGTCTTACTATTTTGTCTTACACTTCTGGAAGAGTCTTTGAAATGCCCCAGGAGTCTGTAGACCATAACTTGAGAACCACTACTCTGTAAATATAAGTTTTCAAATTGCTGCAAATCTAAGACTTATAGCAGTTCTGCGGAGATAGTAGAATAGAAGAAATACTAGAGAGTGTTATAATATGGAAGTACCCATAGCAGGCCCATTTAATGAATATTTGATATTAAATGCAGAACCCTCAAACCTTTCTCACTCTTGGTAGGAAAATACTGCAAGTTGGGGCCAGTAGGTGGTACGGTGGTTAAGCCATTGGACACTCCCACATGGCTAACCATGGTTCAAATGCTGGACCTGGTGGTTTGCTTTCTCACTTTCCTTCTCTCTCTGGTCAAAATAAAAAACAAATGAATAATTAAAATAAATTATTTTTTAAAAAATAGTTCTAGTTTACCTGCTTTTCAGCTTTTAAAACTTTTGGGTTGTCAGAAAAGTTATGATGTCTTTTTCTATTTTTTTAGTCCAAAAATGCATCATGACTTTTCAGACAAGCCAGTATATTGCTCTGGGCCGGCAGGTGGCGTATTTGTTAAGGTGCTGGGTTTCCACATGACTGAGTACTGGATCTAGCAGCTTGCTTTCTCACTTTCTCTTTCTCTGTGTCTCTCTCTGGTGAGCACATGTGCCCTATACTAAATTTAATAATGACAGTAATAATAATAATAATAAATAGATTTAAATAAATCATTCTTTTAAAAAACACAAACTTTTTTTATCTTGTCTTCTCATTCTTTTGTAAGCTTCTAATGAAAAGGAGTTTCTTTTTTCCCTTCCCTGTTAGTAGAATTTCAGGAGGGAGTGATAAATGTATATATTCAATCCAACATTTTAACCTAGAACTCTTGAATACATTTAGAGTAATGTCTGTGAAATCTTTTTACTCCACATTTGAAAATTTTAAATGTTAAAATGGACAAAATTATATCTAGTTACATATTGAACAAAAGCTGAAATATTTATATAAAAATAAATATCCCTTTTTAAAGAAATATTTATTAAATTTTATTTTTTAAAATAATTTTTTGTTTCTGGATTATTTTATGTAACTTTATTCATTTATTTTTAATTTGACCAGAGAGGGGCAGAGGGAGAGAGCGAGAAAGTGAAAGTGAGAAAGCAAGCCACCAGTCCGGGACTTAAACTGTGGTTGGCCATGTGGGCATCCAGCACTCTTAACCACTATGCCACTTGCTGGCCTCCTCATTATTATTTTTTAATTTGACTGGAGAGAGACACAGGGCGGGGGTAGGGGGAGCGGTCAGAGAGAGGGAAAGTGAGAAAGCAAGCTACCAGGTCCAGGACGCCATCTGTGGTCAGCCATGTTGGAGTCCAGTGTCTCAACCACCACACCACCTGCTGGCCTCGATATACACTTGCAGAGTGGGGGATAATTTAGACTGTTGATACAATAGTTAAAACATGTAGATCTTTGGGCCAGCCGGTGGTGTGGTGCTTAAGACGCTGGATTGCACATGACTCACCAGTGGTTGGCACCTTGGAAATCATGCTGGGCATGTATGCCTGCATGCCCCAAATCTTGAGAGGAAAATGAGAGAAAGAGGATTGTGGCATGGCCATCACTGCTGTGAGGTGATTTTCTTCTACTTTTTTTTTTTAAGAGAGATTTTTGCTATAACCCCCCCAGGGGGTGGCCACACTGTAGTACTTTATCTTCCAGTCTCCTCTTGAGATTTTGGGCACCTACACACACGCACTGGATAGATTTTGGGCACCTACACACATGCACTGGATATGAGTGATGCGAGTTTTAAGCCATTGGATATGGGACTCAAACCACGGTTGGCCATGTGAGAGTCCAGCACCTTAACCACTGTGCTACCTGCTGGCCCCTGGGGGATGATTTTCATATTTCTTCTCTGTTTCTCTGGTGAGCACATGTACCCTATGGCAAAAACCTTAAAAAGAAAATAAAAATAAATAAAAATAAATACTTAGGTCTTTTTTTTTTTAATAATTTTTTACTTTATTTATTCATTTATTTTTTAGTTTGATCAGAGAGAGACAGATGGTGAGAGTGAAAGAGAGAGGAAGTGAGAAAGCAAGCCACCAGATTCAGGACTCAAACTCTGGTCAGCCATGTGGGAGTGTCCAGCGCCTTAACCACCACGCCACCTGCTGGTCCCCAATACTTAGATCTTAATTTGAACTCTACTACTTACCAGCTTTATTTTTCTGAGTGAAGCACTTTGTCTTTCTTTATGTCAGTTAACGCATAGTGAAGTCATTATTACATAGGATTGTAACTTCATTTGATTTTCTTTTTTCTTGGTAAGAATGATTCAACTTTATTAATTCACTCATTCGTTCATTTATCTTATTTTAATTTTACTAGAGAGGGACAAAGTGAGAGAGAAAGAGAGAGAGGGAAAGTGAGAAAGCAAGCTACCAGGTCTGGGACTTGAACCATGGTTGACCAAGTGGGAATAGCTCCCTTAATCAGTACGCCACTTGCCTGCCCCTCATTTGATTTTCTTAACATGTTCAGTATATGATAACTTGCCAAATAGTAGACACTAAAATATATTTTTCTGTTTGTTTGTCATAGCTGCCCTCCTTTCTTTCTGGTCTTCATTTGTTACATCTAGCTTTTCTACACCTTTTTTGTTTGAATAGGTTGTGGTCCCTTTAATTAATCCTCCTACAATTTAAAATTTTATTTATTTATTTATTTATTTATTTATTTCAGTTTTTGTAGAGAAATTTTTGCTATAGGGCACCTGTGCTTGTTGGAGAGACAGAGAGATAAGAAGTGATAAACCAACCCCTGGGGAATGGCCATGCTGTAATCCCTTCTCCGTTTTCCTCTCAGGATTCTGGGCATGCACACACACACACACACACACACACACACACACACACACACATACACCCAGCCTGAGTTTCAAGCCACCAGGTCTGGGACTTAGACCACGGTTGACCATGTAATAGTCCAGTGTCTTAACCACCATGCCACCTGCTAGCCCCAATCCTTCTACAATTTAAGGGATGTAGTAAGAAAATGTAATGTAGAAGACTGTAAAAGTTAATTAAGTATATAAGTCTGAAGTTTAGGAGAGATTAGGGCTGGAAAGGTAGGTTTGGGTATCATCAGCCAATTGATGATAATTGAAACCATGGTGGTTGCTGAGACTGCTCAGAAACATGGAAGACTCTCTGATGATTTAAAATATATTGGGTATGATACTTTACAACTTTTCATAATTCGTATCTTTATGAAAGTATAGCAGATATTGTATCATGTTCAATAGTAATTAAAATGAGTATCTTGATTTCTATACTTATTTAAAATTTTGAAAATTCACAGGTTGCATATGGCCAAGTTCTTGGAGTTATAGGATATTCATTACTTCCTCTCATTGTAATAGCTCCTATACTTTTGGTGGTTGGATCATTTGAAGTGGTGTCTACACTTATAAAAGTAAGTTAAGTAGTATGTATAAAGTAGCTTACTCTTTTCCATTAGCAAAAGTATACTAGTCCTCTGGCTAAGAATATTGTAATATGAAACTATTTATCAAGTAGTTGGTAGTATTTTGGAATAGGGAACTTTGTTACTGATTTTATTTTTTTTTCTTATTTATGTTTGTAATGTAAAATGATTTGACTTTGGTTTTGAGAGGGATATTTAATTAAAATTATGTTGGACATTTAGTCACCATTACTCCTGTTTGAGTAGTAACTTCTCTATCAGATTTACAGACATGGTTCTAATAAATTAGACTTTCTATAATGCAGAAATCACAACTTCTTTATGTTGGGTTAAGTTAACATGTACACATTATAAACATTTACTGATGCTGTTAAATAGAGCTGGTGGGACCAGCAGTTAGTGTAATGGCTATGTCGCTGGACTCCCATGTAGTCGACTGTGGTTCGAGTCCCGGACCCGGTGGCTTAAACTCATGCTGGGCGTGTGTGCATGCGTGCCCAAGATCCCAAGAGGATAATGGAGGAGAAGGGATTGATTGGGGCATGGCCAGCCCCCCGGGGGTTGATTTCTCGCTTTCTGTCTCTTGTCTCTCTGGCGAGTGTACACGCCCTATAGCAAAAACTTCTCAAAAAATAAATAAATGAATGATTGAGTGAATGAATGAATGAATGAATAGAGCTGGTCTCATAGCTTAGTGGTGAAGTTAGCCATATCCCATATGGCTGACCTTGTGACTTGAAAAATACTGCAGGTACATGTGCATGTGTGCTCAAAATCTCAAAATGATGGCGAAATGGAGGAGAAGGGATTGTGGTATTATCATGCATTTTTTTTTAATAACTATTTATTTTATTTTTATTTGTTTATTCACTGATTATTATTATTTTTTTAATTTGACCAGAGAGAGACAGAGGGTAAGAGAGAGAGAGAGGAAGTGAGAAAGCAAGCCACCAGGTCCAGGACTTGACCCCCGGCTGGCCATGTGGGAGTGTCCAGTGCCTTAACCACCATGCCACCCGCTGGTCCCCTATCATGCCTTTTTGCAGGGTTATTTCTCCCATCTCCCTCTCTCTCTAGTGAATGTACATATCCTCTGGCAAATTTTAAAAAGTGTTAATAGTTATATGACAGGGCCAGTTCTCTGGCCTGCTGATAATGCTGCTGGTCCCAAGAATGTGTATTTTGGAACCATTTGATTCTGAATTCAGATCCTGGTTCTGCCCCATACGTAATATTTGGCCTTTCAGAGGCATGTGAACTTCTCTTAACTTCAATTTGTTCTTAAATAAATAACTAAAATTAAATAAAATAATTCTAAAAAAAAAAAAAAAAAAAAAACACCCAAAAAGAAAAAAAAAAAAAACCTTATCATAAACAAAAAAACCTCAATCATACAGGGGCTGGCAGGTGGCATGGTGGTTAAAGGCGCTGGATTTTTCACATGGCTGACCGTGGATCGAGTCCTGGACTTGGCAGCTTGCTTTCTTGCTTTCTCCTTCTCTCTCTTTCTGTCTCTCTCTGGTCAAATTTAAAAAATAATAACAATAAACAGAAATAAATAAATAAATAGTTCTTTGGGGGAAAAAACCTCAATCATACAGAAAAATATAGGAAAATATATGAAATAAAATTATGAATAAATTGCATGTGAAAATGTGGGATCTGGCTGCCTTTTTTTTTTTTCCTTTTTAAAGTTTAAAATGCACTGTGGAAAGTCAGGCCATTCCAAATACATTTTAATTCAGTCTGCCAATGTTTATTTTTTAACCTCCATCACTAGTGGCTCTTAACTTTGGTCAATTTTGCCCCCCAGGGGACATGTGGTAATATTTGGAGGCATTTTTCAGCATCACAGATTGGGGATGCTGTTCCTAGTGTGAGGTGGGTAATGGATAAAGATGCTGCCAAACATGCTTTCGTCGGGGCTTGGGGAGAAATCCTACAATCCATAGGAGAGCCTCCCACAACAAATATTATCCATCCTAAAAATGTCACTGTTGGAAGGTTAAGAAATCCTTCTCTGTGCCAAGTCTATTACAAATTCCCTGATTTCTTTCCTTGAGGCTCTACCTTCATTTTATGTTGTAAAATGCCTTGGTGACTTTATCAATAAGTACTATACATGTTTCCAGTGGATAATTTAAAATTAAGTATGTGTATAATTAGAAAACCACAGTGTATTTTATTTAATGCTTAAACAAATTGTGATCTTTACTTCTCCTTTTTATTTAATCCTGTACTTCTTCTAACTATTCCTGGGAAAATACTGGGATGCTTTTTTTTTTTTTTTTTACTTAACTTTATTTATTTATTTTAATTAGACTAGAGAGGAACAAGGGAACAGAGAGAGAGAAAATGTAAGAAAATGAGAAGCAAGCCACCAAGTCTAGGACTCGAACCACAGTTGGCCATATGAAAGTCCAACGTCCTTAACCACCACACCACCTGCTGCTCCTACATGATGTATTTTTCTATGCACAAATGTATCAAGACTTTTCTTTTTATACATTCATTCACTGTACATTATTACAGTATACAAAATGGGATTTTTCATCCAGAATACATTGTATGTTGGCTCTATCAAGGATATTACCATACATGTTATTGTCAACAAATCAATTTCCATTTTTTGTTTCTGAAGTATTTTGCCTTTTTTTCCCCACCTCTTGATTCCCTACCTCTCACCTTCTGCCATTTCCTACCCTCCTCTCACACTGTCTCTGGTATTTACAGTTGCTTTCCATGCTTTTTTTTTTCTACATTTTTTTATTAATTAATTTATTTATTTGCATTCATTCACTGTACATCATTACAGCATACAAAATGAGATTTTCCATCCAGAGTACACTGTATATTATCTCAATCAAGCACATCAACAAACATGTTATTGTCAGCAAATAATTTTCCATTTCTTGTTTTCTGTATGTTTTGCTTTATTTTCCCCCCCCATCCTTGATTCCCTATCTCTTACCCTCTGCCATCTCTCACTCTCCTCCCACACTGTCTCTGGTATTTATGTTTGCTTTTTATACTGTTTCCCCCTGCATTGTATTGAATTACTAAAAACCTTAATTAATCTAAATATTTTCATAGCAAACACAGCTGATATATACATTTCCATGGATACAAGTCCAGTATATACTGCATAGTGGCTTAATCATTCATATTATAAAAAATTTTCCATTTCTAGTTCCTAGAATTATTTTACCCCTCTTTCTCACCTTCTGTCCTTTCCCACCCTCTTTTCACACTATCTCTGGTGTCTACAATTATCTTCCCTTCCTTTCCCACCCACCTTGTATTGATCACACAATTTCTTACATTATCTAACTACTTTCAATAATGAGTTCACTCATTACTATTAA